TAAATTCACTATTTTTCATGTAACACTGAAATTGATTTATAAGGCACCAGAAGAAGATAAAATTATATTTGCCAGAATTTATCATTATTATCTGAACAAAACGTTTGGCCTCCTCCATGCGGGGTCTGATACTGAAGACAGAAAGAAACTAACCAATGAACAAGACTGAGGTGAGGTGAGGTGAAATTGGGTTTAACGTCGTGCTCGAGAATATTTCGCTCATATGACGACGTGCATGCGTGTGTAGGTGTATGTGTGGCTGCTTGTACTAGCCCAGACTTAAGCTGGTTTTATAGTGCTAGCTCACTGTGATACCATGCCACAGTGAAGCATGAATACCCCACTCAGACACATTATACTGACTCCGCGCCGACCAGTCCTTGTTGTATCCATTAATGCCGAGCGCCAGGCAGGGACCAACATGTACAATATTTTAACGTCTTTTGGTATGACGCGGTCGGGGATCGAACCCGCGACCTTCCGCTCTCCGGAACAAGACTGAGCCACATAAGAACTACCAATACACGTCATGTGGGATCACAGGGGGGACCCATTTTGAAATAAACCCGGTCTTTACCTTGTCAAAAGAGACATATATTTCCTGGCAAAGAACGAAATTGGATTTGACCAAACAATTTAAAACTACATCAAATATTAATGCCTGAAACATGTGCCCAAACATTGCAGATTTCATCCCCAAAACTAAATCTACAACTCAAATACACCCCGGGATCGGGTGGTCAAGCTCGCTGACGTGGTTGACACATGTCATCGTATTCCAATTGGGCAGAACGATACTCATGTTGTTGATCACTGGATTGTATGGTCCAGACTCGATTATTTACAGACCGCCACCATACAGCTGGAATATTGCTGAGTGCGGAGTAAAACTAAACTCACTCACTCACTCAAATACATCCTCACTGAATATTGTTTCTTGTTTGTTTCTAGCTAGTTAGCATCAGATAGGTGCATACCTTTTCAGGACAGGTGGTTTAGCGTGTGAGTGAGGATGGGTTAACGCCGCTCTTAGGAATATTCCAGCAATATCTTGGGCTTCGCACGTTGTAACACGGGTCTCAGGTGAGACAAGCGAACGCTTAACGACCAGGCTACCCTAGACCACCGTCCCGGAATAGCGGTTTAAGATTAATGAGATCGCTAAGGTAATTAGACGCGGTGCGATGGCGGATTGGTTGTCATCATACCAGACGGGATGAGTTGTTCATGATATCAACCACTTGCTTTACTTCAACAGACTTTATGGCAAACAGGCTGCCGCGATACAGCTGTCGCCAAGTACAAACAAACAAAGAAATAATTGCATCCTACTGGTAGTGGAGCTAGACTGATGCATCATCTAACAAACGCTTCACACATAACCAATGCATCACACATAACCAATGCATCACACATAACCAATGCATCACACATAACTAATGCATCACACATAATAAACAGATCACACATAACCAATGCATCACATATAACAAAGAGATCACACATAACCAATGCATCACACATGACCAATGCATCACACATAACTAATGCATCACATTTTATCAATAACCAATGCATCACATATAACCAATAACCAATGCATCACACATAACCAATGCATCACACATAACTAATGCATCACATATAACCAATGCATCACATATAACCAATGCATCAAATGTAAACAAAGCATCACACATAACCAATGCATCACATGTAACCAATGCATCACACATAGCCAATGCATCACACATAACAAAGAGATCACATATAACTAATGCATCACATATAACTAATGCATCACCCATAGCCAATGCATCACCCGTAACCACTGCACCACACATAACCAACGCATCACACATAACCAATGCATCACAAATAACCAACGCGTCACACATAACCAATGCATCACACATAACCAATGCATCACATGTAACCAACGCATCACATGTAACCAATGCATCACACATAACCAATGCATCACACATAACAAAGAGATCACACATAACCAATGCATCACACATAACCAATGCATCACATGTAACCAACGCATCACATGTAACCAATGCATCACACATAACCAATGCATCACACATAACCAATGCATCACACATAACCAATGCATCACACATAACCAATGCATCACATGTAACCAACGCATCACATGTAACCAATGCATCACACATAACCAATGCATCACACATAACAAAGAGATCACACATAACCAATGCATCACACATAACCAATGCATCACACATAACCAATGCATCACACATAACCAATGCATCACACATAACCAATGCATCACACATAACAAAGAGATCACACATAACCAATGCATCACACATAACCAATGCATCACATGTAACCAACGCATCACATGTAACCAATGCATCACACATAACCAATGCATCACACATAACAAAGAGATCACACATAACCAATGCATCACACATAACCAATGCATCACATGTAACCAACGCATCACACATAACCAATGCATCACACATAACAAAGAGATCACACATAACCAATGCATCACACATAACCAATGCATCACATGTAACCAACGCATCACATGTAACCAATGCATCACACATAACCAATGCATCACACATAACAAAGAGATCACACATAACCAATGCATCACACATAACAAAGAGATCACACATAACAAAGAGATCACACATAACCAATGCATCACACATAACCAATGAGATCACACATAACCAACGCATCACACATAACCAATGCATCACACATAACCAATGCATCACACATAACAAAGCATCACACATAACCAATGCATCACACATAACCAATGCATCACACATAACAAAGAGATCACACATAACCAATGCATCACACATAACCAATGCATCACACATAACCAATGCATCACACATAACCAATGCATCACACATAACAAAGAGATCACACATAACCAATGCATCACACATAACCAATGCATCACACATAACAAAGAGATCACACATAACCAATGCATCACATCACACATAACATAACAATGCATCACACATAACCAATGCATCACATGTAACCAATGCATCACACCAACGCATCATAACATGCATCACACATAACAAAGATCACACATAACCAATGCATCACATAACCAATGCATCACACATAACCAACGCATCACATGTAACCAATGCATCACACATAACCAATGCATCACACATAACCAATGCATCACACATAACAAAGAGATCACACATAACCAATGCATCACACATAACCAACGCATCACACATAACCAATGCATCACACATAACCAATGCATCACACATAACAAAGATGCATCACACATAACCAATGCATCACACATAACCAATGCATCACACATAACAAAGATCACACATAACAAAGAGATCACACATAACCAATGCATCACACATAACAAAGAGATCACACATAACCAATGCATCACACATAACAAAGAGATCACACATAACAAAGAGATCACACATAACAAAGAGATCACACATAACCAAGGCATCACACATAACAAAGAGATCACACATAACAAAGAGATCACACATAACCAACGCATCACACATAACAAAGAGATCACACATAACAAAGATATCACACATAACCAACGCATCACACATAACCAAGAGATCACACATAACAAAGAGATCACACACAACCAACGCATCACACATAACCAAGAGATCACACATAACAAAGAGATCACACATAACCAATGCATCACACATAACAAAGAGATCACACATAACAAAGAGATCACACATAACCAACGCATCACACATAACAAAGAGATCACACATAACCAATGCATCACACATAACAAAGAGATCACACATAACAAAGAGATCACACATAACCAATGCATCACACATAACAAAGAGATCACACATAACCAATGCATCACACATAACAAAGAGATCACACATAACAAAGAGATCACACATAACCAATGCATCACACATCAAACATCACACATAACAAAGAGATCACACATAACCAATGCATCACACATAACAAAGAGATCACACATAAAATAATGCATCACACATAACAAAGAGATCACACATAACAAAGAGATCACACATAACCAATGCATCACACATAACAAAGAGATCACACATAACCAATGCATCACACATAACCAATGCATCACACATAACAATGAGATCACACATAACCAATGCATCACACATAACAAAGAGATCACACATAACCAATGCATCACATAACAATGAGATCACACATAACCAATGCATGCAATGCATCACACACAATGAGATCACACATAACCAAGAGATCACACATAACCAAGAGATGCATCACACATAACAAAGAGATCACACATAACAAAGAGATCACACATAACCAAGAGATCACACATAACCAAAGAGATCACACATAACAAAGAGATCACACATAACCAAGAGATCACACATAACCAAGAGATCACACATAACAAAGAGATCACACATAACCAATGCATCACACATAACCAAGAGATCACACATAACAAAGAGATCACACATAACCAATGCATCACACATAACCAAGAGATCACACATAACAAAGAGATCACACATAACCAAGAGATCACACATAACCAATGCATCGCACATAACAAAGAGATCACACATAACCAATGCATCACACATAACCAATGCATCACACATAACCACTTTACATCCACATTTGCCTCTTTTCGCCACATATTGCTAACATAATTTGTTTACCATCTAGTAATGTACCGCCCTTTATCACGAGTAACTAAACTACTCTAATTATTCTGTATTTCCAAATTATAACGCTGCCAATTATTAAGGCCCTAGCAATAATATGACATCGCACGTCAGATCTTCTTCTCTTCGTTTGAAGATTAACTTTGAAGATAATTCCGGTTGATCATCATTTTCTTGGCAAAACAGATTTCATTAACGAACATCGATTAGAAAATACTGCCTACAGCGTCTACAGAGGCGACTTACCATGGTCTGTCCTCAGCAGGTTCGTCTTCCACATCCTGTAAAGAGGGAAAGAGGAAGTATAATGATAAATTATGGATAGATGCGGAAGTGAATATGCGCTGAATATGAAAACATTTTTTTAGCAATGGCCCCAAAAAAGCGAAGCACAGTTAACTCGAAATCGAATAAGGAATATGTCCACCTATCCACTGTTCGAGACAAGAGTACCAAACGTAAGATAGTGACCCTTTCTGTTTCTCAAAGTTCCATATTCCATCTTCCATTTTCATCTTACTGAACAAATCGTGAGGAAGGATTTCGAGTGTGTCGTGCTTTGCAGAGTACATGGTTGACCAAAGCATCGCATGGATACAGCAAACCATCGCATGGATACAGCAAACCCTCGCTAATCTAAACAGTAACGTTTGCCATAAAATCATTGGTATTACCAATTTTCGGATGACCAATTCCTTTCTACAAACTATAGAGCTGCGGTGTATTTGTGTCGTCTTTCCGGGCGGTGCGTGTCCCGAATGGGAGTGGGTTCTACGCCGCACTCAGCAATATTCCAGCTATATGGCGGCGGGTTGTAAATAATCGAGTCTGGACCAGACAATCCAGTGATCAACAACATGAGCATCGATCTACAGAATTGGGAACCGATAACATGTGTCAACCAAGTCAGCGAGCCTGACCACCCGATCCCGTTAGTCGCCTAGTCAACCAGGCTAGCTATTCTCGAAACGTTCGTAGCCCTACGAACTTCTTAAGCCCATTCTTAACACATTGACTACGATAAAAATTAAGAATTCTTTGGGCTACGAACGTTTCGAGAATAAGGGCCCAGGCTCGCTGACTTGGTTGACACATGTTATCGTATCCGAATTTCGTAGATCGATGCTCATGCTGTTGATCACTGGATTGTCTGGTCCAGACTCGATTATTTACAGACCGCCGCCATATAGCTGGAATATTGCTGAGTGTGGCGTTAAACTAAACTCACTCACTCACTCACTCTCATTCCATTGTTAGAGTCCATTGTATTTGAAGAATGAAAGCAACAATACATTGCAGGTGTTAATCTGCTCTAATGCCAACACTGGCGTGAAACATCAGGATGAACAAGTCTGGACACAATACTGTCATTTCTGAATATTTTATCGAGCTAATGACTCCAAACTCCCCAAAGCCCTCAATGGTCCTAAATAGGCCTTCCGAAGTGATGAACTAACAGACAGGAATCGTCCCACAACGAGCCAGTCAATATTTGATCATCATTACAGCCATAAATCAAAGGATTTGGCTTTTTACAAGAATGAAAAATCATTACAATAACTCTCGCTATGACGACAGCAGAGTGTAATAATCAGATAATCATGAATTATTGCTGGATACGTTTTATCTTTGATGCCAGCGAATTCAGTAATGAGAAGCTATTTCAAAACAGCAACGTAGCTCTTGAAATAGTGTTGCGGTATTGATTAAAATTGATATCGTTAATAACGACCTGTCAATGGTATTGTATGAATCATGAACTGACGTTGTATCATCATTGAATCATATTGTATAAGCAATAAGTGGTATTGTATGATCATGAAATGACGTTTTATCATCATTGAATCATATTGTATAAGCAATAAGTGGTATTGTATGAATCATGAAATGACGTTGTAACATCATTGAATCATATTGTATAAGCAATAAGTGGTATTGTATGAATCATGAAATGACGTTTTATCATCATTGAATCATATTGTATAAGCAATAAGTGGTATAGTATGAATCATGAAATGACGTTGTATCATCATTGAATCATTTTGTATAAGCAATAAGTGGTATAGTATGAATCATGAAATGACGTTGTATCATCATTGAATCATATTGTATAAGCATTAAGTGGTATTGTATGATCATAAACTGACGTTTTATCATCAAAACTGATATAGCTGAACCATGAGTGAGTGTGTTGGGTCTTGTAACGCTTTTAACAATATTTCAGCAATATCACGGCTGAGGACACCATAAATGGGATTAACACAATGTGCAAACATGGGAATTCGAACCCAGGCCTTCAACGTACGGGCGAACGCTTTAACGACTAGGCTACCGCTTCTGTCAAATAAAGAACTGTATTGTATATTCGTGTAGTATATAGATATATATAATCATGAAATGATGGTATATAATATCACAAATTGATATTGTTCAATCCTTAGTGGTTTTGTACAAGTGATATTGTTCGATCAAGAATTCTATTTGGTACATTACAGAAACACAATGCCTTACTGCGTACACAATGCAAGTTATATAATTTCACTTCACTTACAGACCGCCACACCGGTGCAATCTTAAACACTAACGCATTGCTGATATTCTAGTAACTTGCAGGGCTTAAATAACGGTTCTAAAAAGGTCACCAGATATTGCTGGACAAAAAGCTGTTTCTTTTTAAACAGAGTGGTTTCCGTTGGCAGGGAATTGGAGAATTTTGCGTTGGCGGTGCTTTTGCATACATTTAGTAAATCTGGGGAATAATAGACGACTTAACATGCTGAGTTGTAGCGAAACATGGCTGAAGTTACTCAGACGGTGTGTGTATCGAGTTTCCAAGAAAATCCGCAAGTTGGAAGCTTTCGAAATATGATTATGCAGAAGATGGGAAAAAGCTTACAGAAAACTGCAGTTGATCCCACGGCAGATCAAGGTTGTCATGGCAACGCTGTGTATGAATGACGTCAGCTGATCGATCGTAGCACTCGAGAAAGTCCGACTGGGTTAACTCTCGTTTGGAAACTAATTCACAAAGATTGAAAAGTTTGACTCTCCGCTGTTTCTTGTCGTTAAGTGCATGTTTTTGCACCGATTTATCACTTTCCTCCTCTCTAACGTTGATAAATCTACTCGAGCTGTCATCAGAAGAATCCGAGCTTATTCTTTCGCCAGACGCTGTGACCACGGTTTCGATGACGTCACTGTTTTCTGTGTTCAAACGTTGAACAGCTTCAAGATGGCGGAAGAGACGGTGGTTGCGTAGCACTTCATCAGGGAGATCCTCGTTTTCAAGGTTAAGTCTGACGTAGTTATAGCAAACGTTCTCATCGTCATCTTCACTGCAATATGACATCTGACTCTGACTGTTTTGAGTAGGACATGATACAGACAACAAATCTGAAGAATTGTCTGCGGAAAAGTCCGACACGTCAAACTGACCGATGTCTGTGTTTCCACGACGTGCATTTATCACACATGATACTGAACGGAAACTCTCCCCTGTCTCCGAGAGGTAATCACGTGACAGGTGCGCTACTGCCGACTGAAGTGAGGAATTATGGGAAGATATTGTTGACATCGTATCCCCATCTGAAAAATCAGCATTATTTCCATAATCTCTGTTTTCAGTCTCAGTCTTTTCGCCAATATCGGAACTGATTGTCGCGTAATCCGGGGATTTCTGAGCACTCAGGGGGATCTTCTTTCCCCCTGGGGTCCCCTCCCTGATTGTGGAACTCACATTTTTTTCGTTTTCATTAAATTCAGCGATAGCAGAATTTTGTCTTTCGATCGAATGTTTATCGATAACAGCATAGTCATGTGAAAGTTTAGGACGAAGATGCTTATGACCTTGCGTCTGTCTTGCAGCTTCTGATGGTAGTTCCTTCAAATCATCTATTGATCTTGTATCTCTGTCAAGAGATATATAATCGTGGGACGGTGTTTGGTGTCGTGGTATACTCGCGTGGCCCTCAGATGGTATCGATTTTGGCCGTTGCCCAAGTCTGGCATTGCTCGTGTGTTTGGTCGCATCCTGTGACAAACCGCCTGCGGTAATGACTGTTCTAGAAGTTGTTCCCTTCCGCCCCGGATGCCTGCTACGTGCGTCACCGGCCGCGGCAACAACATCGCCGTCTTGACAAGTAGAGCTTACTTGAACTTGTTCCCCATCCCTCAAACGCCGCTGTGTTTTGACTGAGGGCTTGGCGTTTTGGTTTGATGTTGAGCGACTAAGGGCTTTCTTCACTTCTCGTGTCATGTCAAAGTCTCGAGTGTTCCAGGACTCGTGAACGCCTTTCAATAGAGACCTGTTAAACAAATGGGTTTTTTACAAAAGACATTGATACAAATTATTGCGTCCGATTCTTTGTTGGTACTGTCTTTATTCTTCCATGTCTACGTATCTGTTCTCTACATTTGAAAAGCATTTCATCTCAGACATAACTCCAGTACTAATGGGTTAGAGAATTACTATCCATTAATAATATATTTCTGATTAAAAACATCTTTGATCTCCCCAAGGCTTTAAACCACGTGGGAACAAGGTTAGAAAAATTGCTGTGCATTGGGGTGTTATATATTTGTGATTACAGAAATAATTCGTTTTTAATTTACAAGAGACAAATAAATTAAATGAAATTACTTAAATGCTTGTTAAGCTCGATTACTTTACTGACTGTGACATTATACACTTATGGCTTCAGATCGACGTTAGTCATAATATCAACCACTGGTTTGACTGTTTCAAACTCGTGATGTAGCATGATTTTGTTTGAAAGCGGCGTAAAACAACAATCAAAACAAATACCGGGGGCATCAAACAATATTGTGCTTCAATCCAAGCCTGGTCTCCTGTGTAATAGTTTAAAAAAAACCTACAAAGTGGTATTCAAATACCTGGTTGATTCTCGTGCCTGCTCAATATCAATCAATCCTTTATGTGACGGAGTAATGTCCCTTGACTGAAGGACATGTGCAATGTCGTCGATTCCCCGACTCATGCCAAATCTATCAGACCCACTTTCCATCATTGATGACAACAAACATCGCAGCTGTCTCAACTTCTCCACACAGGTCCTGCAAGAGATAACACGCTGCATTAAACACTATTTAGTACATTACGTTCTTGAACGAAAGTGTCAATCCCACATTTGTACATCTGTCACATCAAAGTGAGTGAGTGAGTTTACGTTTACGCTGCTTTTAGCAATATCCCAGCATTATCACCAGAAATTGGCTTCACACATTGAACCCATTTAGGGAATCGGTCACATCAAAGACGTGTATATGGAGCCACATTCCAACAACATGGAGTCACGGGCCTGGATTCAAACAATTAAAAAATGAATTGAATTGCTTAGCTCTTGTCAAATTTTTCAAGTCAGTGATTTGGATTTAAATCTTTTTCAGTTATGTTAGATAACCTTTGAGATCCTTGTGGCCGTAATAGCAATTACGCCTCTTACTTGTGCCAGGATGCGGTTATCGTGGAAAAGCATCAACGATTTGCTATTAGTTACAGTTTATATATCCCCGCGCTAATGTTCCTTGGCATCAGCTACTAGACAGGGTCTGGGATCCGTACCATTATAAACTAAATGTCCTTACTATATCTCATCTTTTTATCCTTGTTATACTTCAACTGTTTCCGTACCGGATGTTATATGTTTCCTTACTTTCTAATCTGTTTTGTTGAAGTAAATCTCATCATCATCATCATCATTGTCTTTCGTCATCGTCAACCATACCGCACCTGCTTTCCTTGTTTTATTTCATCATCATCATCATCATCATCATCATCATCATCATCATCATCATCATCATCATCATCTTTCGTCACCATCAACCATACCGCACCTGTTTTCCTTGTTTTATTTCATCATCATCATCATCATCATCATCATCATCATCATCATCATCATCATCATCATCATCATCTTTCGTCACCATCAACCATACCGCACCTGTTTTCCTTGTTTTATTTCATCATCATCATCATCATCATCATCATCATCATCATCATCACCATCATCTTTCGTCATCATCAACTATACCGCACAAGTTTTCCTTGTTTTATTTCATTAGTTAGTAGTTAGCTACATTTTATCATCAACATCATCATCATCATTGTCTTTCGTCATCATCCACCATACTGCGCCTGCTTTCCTTGTTTTAATTCATCATCATATTCATCATCATCTTCCGTCATCATCAACCATACCGCACCTGTTTTCCTTGTTTTATTTCTTTCATCATCATCATCATCATCATCATCATCATCATCATCATCATCATCATCATCATCATCATCATCATCATCTTTCGTCATCATCAACCATACCGCACACGTTTCTTTGTTTTATTACATCATAATCATCATCATCATCATCTCTCGTCATCATCAACCATACCGCACCTGCTTTCCATGTTTTATTTCATCATCATCATCTCTCGTCATCATCAACCATACCGCACCTGTTTTCCTTATTTTACTTCATCATCATCATCATCATCAACCATACCGCACATCATCATCATTTGTTTCATCATCAATCATATCATCACCATACCTTCACCTGTTTTCATCATCATCATCATCATCATCTCTCGTCATCATCAACCATACCGCACCTGCTTTCTTTGTTTTATTACATCATTCATCATCATCTTCTCGTCATCATCATCATACCGCTCGTTTCATCAACTATCATCATCATCATCTCGTCATCATCAACCATACCGCACCTGCTTTCCTTTGTTTTCATCATCATCATCATCATCTTTCGTCATCATCAACCATACCGCATGCTTTATTTCTTCATGTTTTATTCGTCATCATCAACCATACCGCACATCATCATCATAATCATCATCATCATCTCGTCATCATCAACCATACCGCACCTGCTTTCCATGTTTTATTTCATCATCATCATCTCTCGTCATCATCAACCAGACCGCACCTGTTTTCCTTGTTTTACTTCATCATCATCATCATCATCTCTCGTCATCATCAACCATACCGCACCTGCTTTCCATGCTTTATTTCATCATCATCATCTCTCGTCATCATCAACCATACCGCACCTGTTTTCCTTGTTTTACTTCATCATCATCATCATCATCTCTCGTCATCATCAACCATACCGCACCTGTTTTCCTTGTTTTATTTCATCATCATCATCATCATCATCATCATCATCATCATCATCATCATCATCATCTCTCGTCATCATCAAACATACCCACCTGTTTTCCTTGTCTTCCATCAGGTCGTCCACGATGTCTGCACACTGTCTGGCCAGTGTCGTGTGCCTTGTCAGCAGTTTTTGGTACTGGCTGTGAGCCTTCCTAAGGAGCTGAACGTTGGCTGTTATCTGGACAGACAAGAGAGGGACAGACATCAGATTGATGGTCAGTGACAGTCGTTTTGAGTAAACAAGACTTTAGCGAGCGAGTAAGTAAATTTTGCCTTAAGCAGCATCAGCAATATTGCAGCTATTCGCGGCTACAAGAGTATGGAGTTTGACGTTATGGAAGAATTATCAACATCACCACCATCATCATCATCATCACTTGATATTCTTCGGAGGATGAGGCTACAAAAATATGCCTTTCCAGAGAAAAGGTGCATATATAGAAATACCAACCAAAATAATTGTCTTAAATACAATATATTCACTTCCTCTCTCCAATATCAAAAGGTCGGCTCTTAACGTGTTTTTCCAGCGTGCATTTCAGCAAACACTCACCCGATCTCTCCCGCGCCTTTCCTCAGTGTCTATAATTCCATATCTGCAACCATAAATTACATCTCAAAGTTAATTATTGTTCAAAATTGAACTGAAAAAACACAATTAGGTAATCGCTGAATGTAATTCAACCTTTTCGCCCTTTTTCTCAGACAGGAACCCGGCGTCAAAGATACGTGAAGTAGTTTGTAAAACACGTATAATGTCGTTGTGTCTCGCCTCTTGATAGGTAATTAGGATCAGGTATATGAGAACTGGTCCTAAGAAAAGTATCTCATAGATTGGTTCTTCATGATGACTCATTCGAAATTAACTCGACCTTTGTATAATTAAAACCTACACACAAATTAACTCGACTTTGTGTGATTAAAATTGTCACAAAAATTTCATTAAACGAGTTAAAAGGAGCAAAAAGGTTGAAGTTGTTTTCGAAGATGATGCAGAATAGTTCAGTGGGAAGAGTTTCTGACAATAAAAATATTGTACATTTTTCGGAGTTAGTACGTAATATCCCTTTTTATTCCTTACGAGGGCGAACATATCGGGGCTCATTTTCTTCAAATATCACTTTGTCATGGTGACGTGACTTCATCAACAATGCTATGACGTCACGTGTCTTCTGTGACGTTGCGTTCTACATGCGGCGACGGCGGGTAGCCAGCCTATGTTTGAAAGTAGTTTAAGTTTATTTTCCTCAATTTGACGACTTCGATAATAAACACAATATTATATTCGTGCCCATATCATACTATGTTTACGACACTCGTGCCTAAATATCGGTATACCCCTCGCTCTTGCTCTGGAAATACCAACATTTAGGCACTCGTGTCGTAAACATAGTATGACATGGACACTCATATAATATCTTCTATGTAGTTCATGGAAACAATGATAATTATCATAACCAGACCTGGGATATTAGAGTGATGAGTGGGTTTAGTTTTACGCCGCTTTTAGCAATATCCCAGCAACGTCACGGCGAGGGAGACCAGAAATGGGCTTCACATATTCTACCCATGTGGGGAATCGATCCAGGGTCTTCGGCGTCACAAGCGAACGCTTTAACCACTAGGATACCCCCACTACCCTGGGATATTAGAACTAAGGATAATATGGTCCGCTTGTTCGTCATAACCCATGTGTAATGTAAACTGATGCACAAAAGAAAGTATACCTGTGGTGCGTCGGTAACACGTACACAATGTTTGTGACTTGTGACAATCGACAAAGGCACCAAGTGTGTACTTTCTTTTATACGTCCGTCGTTGAGCACTGTTCCACTTTCTCCGTGTACTCGGGGCGGTGGTGTAGCCTAGTGGTTAAAGTGTTCGCTCGTCACGCCGAAGACCCGGGTTCGATTCCCCACATGGGTACAATGTGTGAAGCCCATTTCTGGTGACCCCCGCCATGATATTGCTGGGATATTGCTACAAGTGGGGTAAAACTAAACTCATTCACTCACACTGTGTGATGGTGTGTCTGTAAGTGAGTGAGTGTCTTTAAGTGTTCGAGTGTGTATGTGTGTGTGAGAGAGAGACATACATTCTTTATTGACAGAGAGAGAGAGAGAGAGAGAGAGAGAGTATTCTCAGAGAAAATAAATAACTAAACTGAAGTACAAAAGAAAGTACACACCTAATGATTTGGTAAAATGTTTTCCTGAAAACAGCATAATATTTGGAAAAGTGTTTTATTGCAACCCATAAGTCACAAACATTGTGTACGTGTTGCAATAACACCATAGATATCCTACCCAATTGGAACAATTCTAGCAAAATATTTACGTTGTTTGTATAATCTCAAAACACCAGGTGTGTACATTTTTGTGTACATCAGTATCTGACGAAACACGACCCCATGGTTCAAACAATATTCCTATTAGATCACGGTGGGTGCGTTTAATGTTGGGGAAAGCCCGGAGTAGTGCAGGTCTTCGACTTTTCACACATTGGTGAAACTCACCATTACTGGTACGGTGCAAGCAAACCTACAAACGTAATTGGGACGAACAGGGATTCGAGCAAGTGATGATTCGTTTCTGTCGTCCCAAAGGGAAGCAACTCTGCACAGCAAATAACAGCGCCCAAGACGACTTATCTACCCTTGTCAATACACCAATTAGCCCACACATTTTGCACTGAATGACGTTGGCAAAATGGCTCCTGGATCTGATTTTGAAATACATATGTAATGGTCAAATTCAGACAGAGTTATGTTTGAATAGGTAATTTGTTAATATTCGAGTGTGAATATGTTTTGTTCACTTGCTGTTAAATGCCACTGCCAAATACTGTGGTAACGTAACGACGGTCTATAAATCCAGTGGTTGATATCATGACAACGTAATCACGCAATTTGCATCAACCAAGTCAGTGTGTCTGACCAACAAAGCAGTTAAGTCGCCATTTTTCACAAGCACGGATCCATAAAACCTATATTCCCATCTGAAAACCCCATCCGATAAAAACAAATATGGTAATAAAAAACAAAATTTTAATAAACATGATATCATTTTAGTAAAATATTCTATTTTAACGTTTACAACGAAACCCCGTTAATGTGGACTGTGCCTTTTTAGTAAAATCGTCCAGATTAACACATGTCCGGATAAAGAAAACGTGAGTGCTCAGTAAGATCTGTTATATTAAACATATTGACATGTGCTCAACAAAATCCGGATTGCACGATGTCCGTATTAAGAAGATTATGTACGTATGTAGCACAGTATATTTAGTTCGTATTGGTTAAAGCTGAATTTACGCTATAAAACTGAACCCAAAGTGAGACAAAGAGTTCACAAGATAACGTGAAGTGCCTAAAAATACCTAGGCATGTCTAAATATACCACAATCACGGAACACGTCGATCAGCTAAATACCCCTAATTGTATTTCCACATCTGCACTACAAACGGAACTGAAGCAGGTGTTCACATTCTCTTATATGTCAGTGAATGGGCAAATACAATTATACGCTGAGCACCTCCTTTGGGAATATTTTTAAAGCAATCCAAAATTTCCTTTGTTTTTTAAATCTAAATTTGAAACGCGCCTGTGATACCTCTGCTTCACAGCACAGCACAGCACAGCACAGCACAGCACAGCACACACACACACACACACACACACACACACACACACACACAGCATTCCATACGCACACACACATTCCCCTTTTCATATCAACGGGGTCCCAAAATTACCCGATAACAAGAAAGTAATTATATTTATATAAGGCCATGAAGTATTACAAAACTGGCATTTCTATTTGGTCAGTGATCATTATTCGATAATAACCCAATTTCATTGCGTGATTTCGTGTGTAATGCAAGATAATTTTGAGCACCCGGGAGCCAAAATTATGGCTGGCGGACTATAAATATAAATAACGTGATAACGGTGCTATACTGGGATGAAAATGTCCATGATTATTGGACAATCTGCATTTGCTACATTAAGTGAGTTAACGAGTTGTGAATGAAGTGAGTGAGTGAGTTTAGTTTTTTCGTCGCATTCAGCAGTAGTCCAGCTATAAGGCGGCGGTCTGTAAATAATCGAGTCTGGACCACACAATCAATTGATCAACATCAAAAGCATCGATCTACGCAAATGGGAACCGATGACATGTGTCAACCAAGTCAGCGAGCCTGACCACCTGATCCCGTTAGTCGCCTCTAATGACTAGCATGGGTTACTGAAGATCAATTCTAACCAGGATCTTCACGGGTTCGTTTCGAATGTTGCCACACTATTTCAGTAATGTCGAGGAGTGATGTCGAGGAGTGATGTCGAGGAGTGATAAAAAACATTAATGCGATGACAGTGCTATACAAAGCCACAATATCATTACAAACACCGCTGTGGCGAACATAGGTTGTCTCGAAGTAAAACCTTGATCGCTGTATATTCCATGAGGGGCGGTGGGGTAGTCTAGTGGTTAAAGCGTTGGCTCGTCACGCCGAAGACCCGGGTTCGAATCCCCACATGGGTACAATGTGTGAAGCCCATTTCTGGTGTCCCCCCGCCGTGATATTGCTGGAATATTGATAAAAGCGGCGTAAAACCAAACTCAGTCAGTCAGTCAGTATATTCCATGATAAGTTACAATTTTGCGGTTGTCAAACGGATAACTCGAAGTATTTTATCAACTTCGACACAGCGGTGTTTTATACTATAGCACATTTTGCAATGAATCAACGAGATTAGTGTTATGCCGCAGTCAACAGTATATCAGATATTCTATTCAAAGTTGAGAAATACCTATAGTGAGTGTCATTATACGCCGCGTTTAGCAAGATTCTAGCAATATCACGACGGGACACCAGGAATTGGTCAGGTATGCCTAAGTATTTGATTAGAGAAAGATTCGGAGGAACATGTGCGACTTAAATTTAATGACTAATAACCTCTTATTAAGGAGGGGCGGTGGGGTATCCTTGTGGTTAAAGCGTTGGCTCGTCGCGCTGAAGACCCGGGTTCGATTCCCCAAGTGGGTACAATGTGTGAAGCCCATTTCTGGTGTCCACCGCCGTGATGTTGCTGGAATATTGCTAAAGGCGGCGTAAAACCAAACTCACTCACTCACTCACTCTTATTAAGGATCCGGTTATCAATATTCTGGGATGGGTTGGTTGGATGAGGGACTGGATTAGGGCTCGTGTCAGTTAGGGAGTATAGGTGTACGCCGCTTTAAGGAACATTCAAGCAATATCACTGGGGGGACACCAGAAATGGGCTTCACACATTGTACCCATGTGGGGAATCGAACAAAGAGCTTCGGCGTGACGAGGTGAGGTGACTTGAAATGGGGTTTAACGTCGTACTTAAGAATATTTCGCTCATATGACGACGTGCATGCGTGTGTATGTGTGGCTGCTTGTACAAGCCCAGACTTAAGCTGGTTTTATAGTGCCAGCTCACTGAGATACCAGGCCGCAGTTATGCATGAATACCCCACTCAGACACATTATACTGACTCCGCGCCGACCAGTCCCTGTTGTACCCATTACTGCCGAGCGCCAGGGCAGGGAACAACAAGTACCATATTTTAACGTCTTTTGGTATGACGCAGCCGGGGATCGAACCCGTTCAGCTATCTCAAATAACCCTGTGGGATTTTTTCCTTCTTTTTCAGTGGCATTGTCATTGTTTCTTTGAGTATGTAGTATGTAGTAAGCTACGGTTATAACGAACTCAGTTGTACGTATTTCGACTCAAATTACAGCAAGTCAACAGGGTGGAAACATGATATGCAATTTGGATACGATGACGGATGTCAGCGAGCCTGACCACCCGATCCCGTTAGTCGCCTCTTATGACAAGCATGGGTAACTGAAGATCAATTCTAACCCGGACCCTCACGGGTGCTATTGTACTGTACACTAAATATGTTGAATATTTAAAGCGTATTGTGATGTCGCCGTTCTTGAGGGTACAGTAAACTACGGCTATATCGAACTCAAGGGACCAATAGTTTTTCTTCGTTATTAAACGTTGTTGGTTATACGATTTTCGACTAGAATGACAGATAGTGGTCGGGACAAAAATAAAATCAAAGCAACAGTTCGTTCTATCCGTCCGTTCGTTCTGTCGGTCAGTTCGTTCTATCCACCAGTTCGTTATATCGTCAGTTCGTTATATCCACCAGTTCGTTATATCCACCAGTTCGTTATATCATCAGTTCGTTATATCGTCAGTTCGACATATCCGTCAGTTCGTTATATCGTCAGTTCGACATATCCATCAGTTAGTTATATCGTCAGTTCGACATATCCGTCAGTTCGTTATATCCATCAGTTCGACATATCCGTCAGTTCGTTATATCCGTCAGTTCGACATATCCGTCAGTTCGTTATATCCGTCAGTTCGTTATATCGTCAGTTCGACATATCCGTCAGTTCGTTATATCATCAGTTCGTTATATCGTCAGTTCGACATATCCGTCAGTTCATTATATCCGTCAGTTCGACATACCCGTCAGTTCGTTATATCCAACAGTTCGACATATCCGTCAGTTCGTTATATCCGTCGGTTCGACATATCCGTCAGTTCGTTATATCCGTCAGTGCGACATACCCGTCAGTTCGTTATATCCAACAGTTCGACATATCCGTCAGTTCGTTATATCCGTCAGTTCGACATATCCGTAAGTATGTTATATCCGTAAGTTCGTTATAAGCGTGCTCGTTATAAACGTAGTATACTACATATCACGGCTGGCCTGTTTGATGTGTCGAATGCCCAGAGTGTCACTTTGTTGAAACAAATGACAGGCAAGGGAATGGCGCTGACGAACAAAACATCACAATCAGGGCGGGTGTGGGATTCGAACCCTTGACCATGGAGTCATGGCACACATCGGCAAACTGCAGCGCATTACTGGGCCGCCGTGCCTTCGCACACGATGTAGGAGTTAGATTTAAGAAGTGAGAAATTTACATTGTGGCCTACTTCTACAGCTGGGAATTCTAGTCAATAATATATCTGAAAAAACATTTGGCGGATTATGAAGGCGCAGTAGAGCACAGTATTCAATTTCAACACCGAATGCTCACTAATGAGTTTAGATTTTTTTCTAACTCAATGAAATACAATTATAAGGGGTTTTTTTCAAAACTATGGTGCCACTTGTTTTGAACATAGGTTATTACGTTGGCACCAAAAGGAAGAATGTCTGTCAAAAACAAAACGTATAGTTCACTTATGATGACGGTCTTCTGTAGATAATGTTATTTTTTTTACAGGTTTGAGAGCAACCCTTTGCACCGTCTTACATCTTCACTTCTCTCTAACCATTACTGACCCGTGAAGATCCGGGTTACAATTGATCTTCAGTAACCCATGCTTGTCGTAAGAGGCGACTAACGGGATCGGTAGTTAGGCTCGCTGACTCTTTTTGACAGATGTCATCGTATCCCAATTGCGTAGATCGATGCTCATGCTAATGATCACTGGATTGTCTGGTCCAGACTAGATTATTTACAGACCGCCGTCATATAGCTGGAATACTGCTGAGTGCGGCGTTAAACAACAACTAAACCTAACTATCCATTATGAGATTTGGAGCTAAAATATTTTAGAAAATGGTCTTATAATTATGCACACAAAAACCGCACTATTTCTTCTGATAACATTTGTTGTTCTATGCGATACATTAATACCTTATATTTTGTGTGATTCACATATTTTCTGTGCTTGTGCTGCATTCTTGTTGTAAAAAAGTGAGTTATATCAGAAGTTTAAATCATTAAGCAAGAACAGAGAGTGAGTAATGCTGTATGCCGCACATAACATTACAGGGGCGAGAGGCATCAAAATGTCGATTTCCACTTTGTACCCATGTCGGGAATTGAAGCCATTACGGTCTCAAGCCACTGCAGTTTGAGCCAGTGAACAAACCCCACCGCCCACACATACCAGATCATGTCGGTTACCTGTTGTTTGATTGTTCCAACGACATCGCCTCTTTTAAGACAGTCTCCAACACCTGCAGTAGAAGAAGATACCGGAAGCTGGTTTGACTGTTGTTGCTGTAAGCGACATTGATTGGACGGTCATGTTCAGTGGTCCCGGAAGAGACGTCAAATCCCATTTCCACCAGCCTCTGAAATGAAGAAAATATATATAACCATAAATAAAAAACAATGTAAATAGAACAAAGACGTACAGCTTTGAAGATTTCAAAGACCGTTCTGCGAAACTTGCACAAAAGACGTTTGAAGAAGGTGACATGCAAGGCCTCTAAAACACTTTCAAAGAGGGGGCGGTGGGGTAGCATAGTGCACGTGGTTAAAGCGTTAACTCATCACGCCGAAGAGACGGGTTCGATTCACCACATGGATACAATGTGTGAAGTCCATTTCTGGTGTCCCCGGTAGTGATATTGCTGGAATATTGTTAAAAGCGGCGTAAAACTAAACACACTCACTCACTCACTTTCAAAAAGCTTTATGGTAGACATATAAAGGACATGTCTATATCTGACTCATCAGTGATAAAAAAAAATGTCGACGCGATCCCCTATTTTAGACGTTTCGTGAGCGCCAGTGTATTTAATGGATGAACAATTGCCTTGCCTTTGCATGCGTTTATGGTGAGGAGGATAGGGGGTGCGCTCGCTTTTTCCCGAGCGCCTGGCTTCATCCCTATCTTGTACTGGTTCAAACCACTTTTAATTATTATGACTAGACATTATGGATTAATGTTTTTGCTTCTTTGTCGCTTTTGCATAATACATATACAGGCAAAATGGAATATCAGTTAGAATACATTGTTTCTGTAATATATCCAGCATTGACGATAATACCGATGACTCATTTGAGACCCGTCAAGATCCGGGTTAGAATTAGTCTTCAGCAACAGATGCTTGTCGTAAGGGGTGACTAACGGGATCGGGTGGTCAGGCTCGCTGACTTGGTTGTCACATGCATCGTTTCTCAGTTGCTTGGACTGGTGCTCATAAGGCTAATCACTGGATTGTCAGGTTCAGACCTGATTATTTACAGACCACCGTCATGTAGCCGAAAGGAATAGTGGCCGTTTTTGTCCCACAAATCAGAAAGTGTTGGTGTGCTGATCATGTGTTTTGTATGGTGTCTTAAATCAAGCGTTGATTATGCTACAATATTGTTTACAGTGGGGATTCAGATTTAGAATATACATCCAGCAGCTTGTGCCTCTTGGAGGAGGGTCCCGGGCAAAAGGCAAACAGTTAAAAATTGCATTTGACCCCAAAATAACAAATGCTATCAAAACGTGACAAAGCTGAAAGGGCAGTGGAGTAGCTAATGGTTAAAGCATTCACTTGTCACGCCGAAGACCCGTGTTGGATTCCCCACATAGGGACAACGTGTGAAGCCCATTTCTGGTGTTCCCCAACATATCTTTGCAGGAATATTTGATTTTGTTTTCTATTGTGAAGTTTCCAATTGTAACGTTAAATCTTGCGCAGCATAAACATACATCATAAACTGTGTTAAAAAAGATGAAGAGATCCTGGAGATGACCTAATGATCAAATTATCAGACGTCCTTCTCTTTCCAACACGGTTTAAATAGGTGCCCCTTTAGTCAGGTCTGTAGGTGACATTTGAGGCACAGATGTGAAATGCGTCGTGAAACTCGCTGATCATGTGATCATGAGTTCGATTCCCAGACTTTGCTCTGTTTATGGATATTGGTTTCTAAGCGCAGTTGTCAGGATTGCAACCGTGGTACATGTCCAGAATCTGAATCATCCTCCCTAATCAAGGTAACACACCGCTACGTAAGTGAAATACCATCCAAACCAAACGCGTTCATTATTCTGGCGACCCGTGAAGGTCCGGGTTAAAATATTGATCTTCAGCAACCCATGCTTGTCGTAAGTGGCGACTAACGGGATCGGGTGGTCAGGCTCGCTGACTTGGTTGACACATGTTATCGGTTCCCAATTGCGCAGATCGATGCTCATGCTGAGTGAGTTTAGTTTTACGCCGCATTCAGCAATATCCCAGCTATATGGTGGCGGTCTGTAAATAATCGAGTCTGGACCAGACAATCCAGTGATACACGGGTCAGGAAATAACTAAACTCCCTTGTTGTACGTGCTAGCTTTGGGTGAATAAAATTGTATTCATGTGGAGATTCGAACCGTGTTCCCAAGCTTGTCGAACGAACGCCTTAACACTTGAACCACTTCACTACCCTCCGCCCCTGAAGTCTAACACTATACATTATTAGGGATGCATCGATACTTTTTCTAAGTCGATAAAATTATCGATACATTCAAAACTGTATCGATATTTAGTTTTGAAAGTATCAGTTTAAATATGTTTCGTTTACATTTTGCAATTGTATCATGTTTTTTGATGTTATGAGAGTTATAAATGATTATTTTTCATGCTCAAAGATGGGGAATTAGAGAATCAAAAACGTTGATCTTTTTATTTTATACAATATGTAATATTAATGTTCAAAATGTAACTAAATTTACACAATAATGCCGCGAAAATAGGTATCGTGATACGTATCGAATCGTGACATGGGTATCGTGATAGTAACCTATGCTTCGTGACATCTATATGCATCATCATCTAAAAACATGCATGTGCGAGGAAAACCAGGGTAGCATTTATATGAGGAGTAAATGAACGTTTAGCCATGTTTCGACAAGTGACACCAAGCCTATGCTTCAAGCATTGGTTTCCGCCGCCATATAGCTGGAATATTGCAGCGTACGGCGTTAAACAACAAACAAATACACGTAGACATATTTCGTGGGTTATGAGGGATGCCACTGTACAATTTGCTTTCTGAGTAGGCAGAGAAAATAGAATAAACATTTTTTTTGACAATATCGGTTGCGTCAGATGTCTACTTTTACACTGGTTCCAAATTGACGCTATAATCGATTCCATGTCAAAGAAAGAACATCGCGTGACAGTAAATTCGACAGAAATGCAGAGACACAGCATTCTCGGAACGAATTTGAATGGCATTGTCTATATTTACAGTGTGCATGCTGCTCGATTTAAAAAAAAATGTTTTACGTTGCTTTTTCATTTCAAATTCTGTCATGGTGGTTTCGTGAAAACACATTTATGTGAAGAAAAGCCATTCTCCAACATGTCATACAATGGTCGCCCTGTAATTCTTCCGTTACCTCGCCCATGTGGGGAATCGAACCCGGGTCTTCGGCGTGACGAGCGACCGCTTTAACTAAACTCATGGGCAAAAGAAAGTATAGGTCATTTTGAAGATCAGTAAAACAGAAACAACACAAGATTTGGACTATGTAATAGATGTAATTTGTAGCAAATTCATTTGCACTTTGCTGTGTGTACAAATCATCACCTGGTTGAAATAACTGAAAGGTGACATTGATATTCAAACAGTCAGGGGGTAAATGCCAAAGTTTCAATGATATTCCTTTGACGAATTGCGCACACAAAAGACAGAAAAGTTTGTTCCAGAACGATCACAACGTCAGTAGCATGTGTGTCCGCCAGCAGCCTCGATGACGCTCGTGCACGTCGTCACATCGATGACGTCAAGCGTCGGATGACGTTATTTGATAGTCGCTGCCACTCGTCCCTCAGTGCCACTTCCAACTCTTGTCTTGTCTGTGGAGGGTGATGACCACAAATTTGTCTTCCCAGATGATCCCACAAATGCTCGATCGGATTCATATCTGGTGATCGAGAAGGCCAGGGTAGAACATTAACGTTATTCTGATTAAGAAAGTTTCTCGTCGCTATTGCTGTATGGGGAGTTGCTGGTTGATTGTTCAAGAAAGGTAAGACAACAGGCTGCAAGACTTGATTTCGGTACTCGTTAGCATTGAGATTCCCCTGAATAACGACCAAGGGTGTCGTTTGGTCGCCAATAATGCCACCCCATACCATCACACCACCTCCACCATAGGCATGGACTTCTTGAAAGCATGCTGCTGCAAAACGTTCACGCCATCGCCTGTAAACTCTCTGTCGGCCGTCATTTTTGTGCAGACAAAACCGACTTTCATCGGTGAAGAGGACCCTACGCCAGTCACACACTTGCCAGCGGTATACTCGTCTTGCCCATTGCAGTCTTTCAAGTCGATGTTGTTGTGTTAGTCTCATTCCACGGAATGGTCGATAGCAACGTATTCCACCTGCTCTCAAACGTCTGAGGACAGTCCTTCGACTGATGCGACGTCCCAACGCTGTTTCGGCCGTTGACGTTGCCGTAACAAATCGATTTCGGAGGTGTATCAGGCGTATATGGTGATCTTCACGTGCGCTGGTTACACGTGGACGTCCACTCCTCGGCCTGTCCTGTGTTCGACCTGTCTGTCTGAATCGTTGGAGGAGTCTTGCTATCGTCAGTGGCGTACAACCAAATATTCTTGCAATTCTGACGTTCGACGCTCCCATATCGGACATCCCTATGGCTCTCTCTCTGTTCTGGCGTCAGTCGTGGCATACTTTTCATGTGTTTTCAGCAGCTGTGATATGACGGGACCGATGCATCGCATTTATACCGAAACTTCGCACGTGCATTATGTACTAGGGGCATGGAACATGCTTTCCACATTTGTGACGCAATCACTCTCACCGTTCGAACGTGTTGCGTTTTGGCGGTGTATTTCCCTTCCCAGTAGTGGGGCCAACATTGCCAGCATGTCTAATTCTCATAACCATGTCAATGACAAAAAAAAAATTTTTCCAGTCCTATACTTTCTTTGGCCCATGAGTTCATAAAGCCCAGAAACGGTAAAGATCCATTGTGACGGTACCGCATGTTTGAAAGAGTCCATATAAATATGATATATTCAGCTGCTTTTTCATTCCAAAATCCTATCAGTGCTATGAGCACAGCATTTAATATTCTGTCGGAGGTTCGGTGGTGGTTGGAGGTTGAAACCCCGGAACGTGACGTGACGAGAAGCGTTATGCGAAGTGTCAAGCTTTATATTATGTGGAACATCGTGTTAGTGTTATGTGAAGCATAATGTCAAGGGTTACATGATGCATTGTGTTAAGTGTTATGTGAAACATAATGTCAAGTGTTATGTGAAGCATTGTGTTTAGCGTTACATGATGCATTGTGTTAAGTGTTACGTGAAGCATCGTGTTAAGCGTTATGTGAAACGTTTTGCTCCAACACAGGGGCCCGTTTCACATAGCAATCGTAGCACTGAGGTGATCGTAACTCCCATACTTTAACATAGACTTACGGCAGTCGAAGCGCTACGATCGCTTTGTGAAACGGCCCCAGGATGGTAAGATACGTTTCAAGTTTTACTTTCGAGATTTTAGAGAGAATGATTGGGGCAGTAGCCCTGGGTTTCCCCGGGTGAATGAAAGGGAGGCCGGACCGTTGTGATGTGTTTGCATGATGACTCGGGTGGGTCCTGACCCTAAACCACAAATAATTTACGTTTACAGTGAGTGAGTGAGTTTAGATATGCCCGCTCTCAGCAATATTTCAGCTATATGGCGGCAGTATGTAAATAATCGAGTCTGGACCAGACAATCCAGTGATCAAAAGCATGAGCATCGATCTACGAAATTGGAATACGATGATATGTGTCAACCAAGTCAGCGAGCCGGTCCACCCGATCCCGTCAGTCGCCTATTACGACAAGCATGGGTTACTGAAGATCAATTCTAACCCGGATCTTGTCGGGTTATTTACGTTTAAGTGTAACATATAATATGTTCTAAGGATTTTATCGAAGCTGCGATTGGACATTGACCAATCGACATGAGCTTATTTTACAACCATTTTGATTTGACCTCAGAATTAAATCAAAGCGAATCAGTCAATGTTTACAGAGGGAGCAAAAGGGTTTCAGTTCAATTAAAAGCCCTTCCTACTAGAAAATGAGGTGGATGGTAAGATTCTTGACATTAACGAACGAGGCCTGGCAAACCATTCGCAAACTTTGACATTGTCGCTTTTCGGTATGAAGCCATGCAGCTTCGCCAGGCCTTGACCTTGAAATGAATCATACCTGAAGGCTACTGATGTCGTCACGTTTCGCCGCCACGTGACTCGGGTTCCCACGTTTCTCTCGCACTGGCATGGGCGTCGTAGAACCAGCTGTTAGCGTTGAAAGGTGATCCAAAAGCGTCCCTGCCATTGCCTCCTGGAACACAACGATCAAACGTAAGAATCATGATGCTAGGTCAGTAACGGCGGATGCCGGTGCAAACATCATCGAAATGTCACCACTAGTAATGGCTTACATTTGTTTTACATTTGTGATCAAATATTTGTTGATACTCTTTATTTAAAAGGGTTCGTGTTTTGGCTGAACCGTTTTCTCGTCAATCTGAAGGCTTTGGTTCCATTTCCCCCATGCTTGAAGTCCAACTCTGGTTCCCGACGTTATATGGCTGATTGTTGATAAAGGCGGCATAAAACATTATCTTGCCTCACACATAAATGTCGTTTTCTGATTGGCTGAGCGCTTTTCTATTATTTTCAACGTACCCCGCTTACAAACGAGTAACTCATTTGGTACTTCGTAGTAGTAATTATTTTTCTCGAATAATATTGAATCACGTATGATGTACGGAAATTACCGATGTTTTGCGAATGCAAATCGATGGAAGGGAGATAACTCTAAATTTATTTTTCTTGTCGTCTTGTACTGTCGTCTTGTACTAGGATCCATACCCGTGCTCCAAACAGTTCACAATTACCATTGAGGTGTACGGTAAGATAAATTAAACTATGTCCATTCACTCAACCATTCACTATATCTATCCACACAACCCCATTACTCTTATTTATGTGTTACTCATGTTATTCACAAGGTACAATGAAATCAAAATGTGTGTCCGGCATTTTGGCGGCCATATTGGACATCAAAATGGTCAACATTTTCTGAATAATCGATGTCATTTTTTTGTCACCTCTTGAGGTCAGGTCATTTGTTTTGTTTGTTGTTTAACTCCGAGCAGTATTCCAGTGGTGGAGTAGCCTAGTGGTTAAAACATTCTATCGTCACGCCGAAGACCCGGGTTCGATTCCTCACATGGGTACAATGTGTTAAGCCTATTTCTGGTGCCCCCGGTCGTGATATTGCTGGAATATTGCTAAAAGCGACGTAAAACTAAACAGACTCACTATTCCAGCTATATAGCGTCGATCTGTAGATAATCGAGTCTGGACCAGACAATCCAGTGATCAACGCTGTTAACGTCGCACCCAATGTTATTGCGCTCCTACAACGTCGTACAACGTTGTCCTGTTCGGACTAAAGCCGGTGTTTTAGCACTAGCCCAATATGCCACCACTCGGCAGTTTAACATGGCTACCTGACTCAGACACAGTAAAGTGACTACGAGGGGCCCAGGCCCTGGTCTATCCCTATAATCTCTCACTCAACACTAAACTGCAAAGCCGAAACCGACGTTCGATCATGTCTGCCGCATCATATTAAGCTCCTTCTCCAGACTGGTATTATGTTTGACAAACGCTCGTTGGATGTGCACTGTGAAAACGCCGGGCTGGTCAGATGTGTGGGCCATTGAGGTTAATCACATCAGACGGTAGCCAAGCCCGTTCTGCACGTGCTTTCTGAGCGTCATTTCAGGAGAATTTTAGTGCAACAAATATTTGCGTGCCGCTGTTTGAAATAAATACGTTATAAAATTCGGATTTGATCCAGGACGTCGTGAGTACTTTTCACATGATAAGGTCTACATGATAAGGGGGCGGTGGGTTAGCCTAGTGGTTAAAGTGTTCGCTCGTCACGCAGAAGGCCCGGGTTCGATTCCCCACATGGGAACAATGTGTAAAGCCCATTTCTGGTGTCCCCCGCCGTGATGTTGCTGGAATATTGCTAAAAGCGGCGTAAAACCATACTCACTATGCGATAAGAGCACACCTACGTAGACCAGACAAGTCACAACACTATTATAGCGAACAAAACACTGTCTAAGTAGCCGACTTTCGTTGAATACGACAATAATACTCGAGCACGTATTTATATAACAAGGCTAGTTAGTTAAAGGACAGTATGTACAAGTTCATTCTCGATGAAATTAGAATGTCCCTAATATTTCCAGAACTAATTTGTTTGAGGTTTATTTCGTATAAATATAACAAGGTTAGTTAGTAAAAGGGCAGTTTATAAAAGACAATTTCCCTTATATTTATAGAACCAATTTGGTCTTGGTTTGTTGTGGGGTTTTCTTCATATAACAAGGCTAGTTAGTAAAAAGGCAGTGAATAAATATTCATTCTGGATGAAATTAGAATTTCCCTTTTATTTCTAGAATCAATTTGGTTATTTTTGTTTTGCTTTGCTTTTGTATTATTATAACAAGGCTAGTTAATTAGAGGGCAGTATACGAAAGTTCATTCCAGGCCAAATTAGAATGTCTCTTTTATTTCTAGAACCCATTTGTTTTTTATATCGTAAACAAATACTACTATTCATTTTTTGGATAAATCATATTTGTTTTCATTTCTGAAAATAGGTTTTTTCCTTATAGTTCTCGAACAAACTATTTTATGTTTTATTATTAGAACAAATTAGTTTGGTTATATCTATTCCTCAAGCAAATGATTTATTTTTCTTTCGGCACTTTACTTTGTTTTATATCATTTTTAAAGGTACTCAAACCATTTGTACTTTTGTATAACGCCTATCGCAGAAAAAGTTCAGCTCTCCGGATAGACCACCAGAGACATGTATTCAGATGCCAGCAAAACAAGAAATAACTACAAGAGGTAAATATCCTCGACTCAACAAGACGTACCTGTCTAGAGTGCATTGCATATGACAGTAGGCTGGAGAGCTCTGACACACAGGTTTCAGAACCGTCGGATAGACATTTCTGCAGAAACACCTTCATGCAATCCACTCGTCCCAGCTGAAAATAAAACAATTTACTGTTAAAAAGTATACAAGTCAAAGTGTCAGTTACAAAATATACGTAAATTTCAATGGTAAAATATGTTTCAGTTAAAAGGCGCATCGAGCAACTGTTTTCAGTTTCTTACAAAGGAAGACAATGAAAAGCTCGCAACAACTTAAAAAAGGGGCAATCAGAACGAAACTTCTAAACTACCCCCTGGTCCCTATCACAATATACAGCCCGCCTTTCCAAAAGAAAAGCATCATTTTCCTCTATATTACTGGGGGCGGTGGGGTGGCCTAGTGGTTAAAGCGTTCGTTCGTCACGCCGAAGATCCGGGTTCGATTCCCCACGTGGGTACAATGTGTGAAGCCCATTTCTGGTGTTCCCCGCCGTGATATTGCTGGAACATTGCTAAAAGCGGATTAAATAACCATACTCACTCACTCTATATTACTGGGTTTAGTCAACAGAATTGCAGATACCTTTAATGGTGAACAAAACCGTTCTGGCAACTATATTGTTCGACATTTAGATTTCAGGCAGTAAATAACAGTATCTAGTTACACATAAATGTAATACTACTATTCAATTGCTTGACTAAATAATGTCTCTCATATATCTCTGGTGAGTAGCGTATGATATTAACTCGAACCTTCATATTCAAAGGTAAACTATATTTAGACACATAGATCTTTTTGTTTGTAAATGTTTGTAAATAGATTTCAGAGCCCGAATCAATGCCTGTTCGGGACAAGATGCATTGCGGTTTAATGGTGACTGACCTACAACATAATTGATATCAATATAAGTGTTTGTCATACTCTCCTAAACAGCATTGTTTCGAATACATAATGCCATTTAGAAAGTGGTTACATTTGGGATTACATTTTGTCAATAAAGTACAGATTCTAGTACTATCTAGTAAGTGTAATCACAAATATAACATTTGTTACATTTGACCACTTTCGAAATGGCATTGTGTATTCATAGCTTTCGGCCATGGGAGGCGTGCCAATCTACATTCATCAGAGGGGTACACAAAGTCTTGACTGCCAGTTGTCCGTCTTCCATTTTTGTGGACTGACTGACTGACTGATTGAGTTTGGTTTTACGCCGCTTTTAGCAATATTCCAGCAACATCACGGCGGGGGACACGAGAAATGGGCTTCACACATTGTGCCCATGTGGGGATTCGAACCCGGGTCTTCGGCGTGACGAGCCAACGCTTTAACCATTAGGCTACCCCACCTCCCCCATTTTTGTGGAAGCTGCAGTGGCTGTTTGGTTAGGCGGCTGACTTGAATTTTGACTTCTGCAAGACTAAGAGCTATATTTGGAACGTTTGCGGTTACAATGTGAAGCGTTTCACCCCGGTGGCTGGGAGGGTTAGGCGGCTGACTTTGTGTGCTGGAGACTAGGTACCTGACTCTGAGGGTGTGGGTTCGAATCCCGGATGGGACTGAACCCAACAAAAGTACAAGAATCTGTACTTTACTGAGAAAATGCAATCACAAATATAACACGTGTTAGCATTGTTCCGGTTGGAACAAACTTGGTGGTAGTACGCAGTTACCAGTTACAGAAACGCATGATAATCATTATCAGTTTGACTGGACAAAGTGAGTGAGTGAGTTTAGTTTTACGCCGCACTCAGCAATATCCCAGCTATATGGCGGCGGTCTGTAAATTATCGAGTCTGGACCAGACAATCCTGTGATCAACAGCATGAGCATCGATCTGCGCAATTGGGAACCGATGACATGTGTCAACCAAGTCAGCGAGCCCGACCACCCGATCCTGTTAGTCGCCTCTTACGACAAGGATGGGTTACTGAAGATCAATTCTAACCCGGACCTTCACGGGTGACTGAACAAAGAGACAAATCACACATTGACTCCACACTCAGAAAGAGGTCCAGCTATGAGACAACGGCGTTTGCATAAACGATGCTGGCTAAGACAATCCGGTTACTCATATAACCAGCAGCGAATTTTGAAAGCCTAATTTTGCCTTTTTTGTAGCATAAAATATGTTTTTCAGCGACATTTTTCGTTGTTTCGATTATTTTGTTGGTGGCTTCGATTAATTTTCCGTTGCTTCAAATATTTTCTCGTTATTTCGTTCATGTTCTCGTTGTTTCGATTAATTTCTCGTTGCTCCGAATATTTTCTCGTTCCTTCGTGTTTCTTCGATAATTTTCTCCGTATTTCAAATATTTTCTCGTTATTTCGATTATTTTTTCGTTGCTTCGATTAATTTCTCTTTGCTTCGAATATTTTTATCGTTCCTTCGAGTTTCTTCGAGTATTTTCTCGTTATTTCGATTATTTTCTCGTTGCTTCGATTAATTTCTCGTTGCTTCGACTATTTATTTTCTCGTTACTTCGAGTTTCTTTTAAAAATTTGAAATTTCGAGTATTAACTCGTTCCTACGAATATTTTCTCGTTTCTTCAATTAATTTTTTCTTTTCATTGCTTCGATTAATTCATCGTTACTTGAATTAATTTCCCGTTGCTTCGAGTATATTCTCGTTGCTTCAAGTTGAAATTCCCAGTATTTACTTGTTAACGTTGCTTCGAGTATTTTCCCGTTAACTTCAATAATCCGCCGGATTCTGTTGCAGCCAACAAACACTGAAGGTTCTAAATCCTGTGGGGCATCACGAAATACGTCAAGACCCACCCCAACCCTAACTCTCCCTCCCTAACGGCAAACACAGGACACTCACTGCCCACGATATCACAGACATTGTTATGAAGTCAGAAAATACACATCAATTTGGTATGAAATAACTGTCAAAGAAAGACATTTTTCCTCAGATGGAATGACACTTCTTGAAGAGCCATTGACCTCTCCTTGCATAATCAGGCATAACAAACGTTTAAGACGTTTACCAAACTGTTTGGAGGTTAACTAAAATACACGCCTAACATTGGCAAGAACGCACAAACATTACAAACAGGAATTGGATCAGACAGTCACCAAGTGTTGAATTTCCAACTCGCATTACAAAGGTTCTCTTGCCGATCACTGCACGCAAAAAACACGACCACGCAAATGTTCATGAATAAAGATCTAAGTTTATTTCTTTAACGACGTTCGGGAAACGTTCATTCACAAGCAGCCGTATCGCCAGCAATAAACGAAACCTGACGTCATTTTTTCTTGTTAACTCGGTGGCTGGATTGCTCCATCAAGCGGTAATGTTTACTGACAAACGCCATTGTGAAGTTGATGTCGGTTGATAAATGCGTTATCGTTTGTAGAGGAACTGTTATCGCAGCATAATAAGGCGATTGAGCGGTTATTTTTAGCTGGAATCAAATTCAGAGCAATTACCGCGAGCGTTGGACTGAGTGGTACCCATTGGTCTATCACCAAACGTTGCAAATTTCAATTAGAGAAACCCGTGAAAACATGAGTCACGTATCGTGTTCCTCTGCGGTAATTGTGTTGCAAATTGTTGAGAGTGTTACGACAGAAATTATACTTGAGTGCTTGTGTTGTTCCTGTTAAGGAATGTAGTTTAATTGAAGAGCGTTCTATTTTCGTCAGCGCAGATTGGATTATGGCACTGGAAGGTAATGCTTAGGAGCTTTTAAAGCAGGCAGTCCTGTTTGTTTGTTGCTGAAGGCGACTGTCAGCCATATTTCAACTGTATGCCGTCGGCCTGTGAATAGTATGGCCAGAACATCTGGTCTTCCTCAAAGTACCTGAACCATGTTGTTTTCCATTCCTCCTATCCCTGTCTATAAAGCAAAAGCCCAAAATAGACCTGGACCCGATTTCTCGAAACAAACTTAAGTCTGAGTTTTGACTTAGGTTCGAGTTTTTTGCTCAAATAGAGAAAATGCATTTAGCAGAATGAACTGAAATTGATATTAAACTCAAACATACTAGACAATTTGAGTTTGGTGGGTGGATTACTTAAGTTGTTTGGGCTGTTTTATTATAAAAATGCAGTTGAGTTAAAAATTCAGCTGTTTCAAATTGTCAAACCAGTTTGAAATTTGAGTAAAAACTAAGTTTGTTTCGAGACCATCGGGGCCTCATCTAGAATCTCCCCATCTACACACGGGCGTGGGGACAAATTATTTGTTTTATCAAAGAGTTCGTCTACTGACCATCCTGTTGGTGACCCTGTGGACATTGTCCAGTGACATCAGGGTACCCGCAATCAGCTGAACTAATTGTGACCACCCGATTGTGAATTCTATACACCTAGATGGGGACACAACTAACCCGAAATGACCAACCAGTGCCTGGGGACTTCACACCTGACCTTAAACGGGGCCTGTGCTTTGAGCCCGGAAACGACAACATGTGTTCTTGGACCACACCTAACCTATAAACGACAGTCTAGTATTCTGGGGGCGACGCCGAGCCCGGAAACGACAACATGTGTTCTGTGGACCAAACCTAACCTGAAACGACAGCCTAGCGTTCTTGGGACCAAACCTAACCTGCAAACGACAGCCTAGAGTTCCGGGGGACAAAATGTAACCCGGAAACGACAACCTAGTGTTTGGGGTCAAAACCAAACCCGGAAACAACCAGCAAAGTGTAGCAATCTGTTTGGGGTTTGTTGGTGATCAAACCTAGACTGGAAACGACAGCTTATCGCTCTGGGACCAAACATATCCCGGAAGCGATCATCATGGTTTGTTTGGGAACTGCTTCGAACCAGAAGATACAATTCCGAACATAAGACCGCTTGAATCCATAATAAGCAGCACGTTGTACTCGATACGATATCACGACTCTTTCATAAAATAATTCCGAAAACAAAAAATAATACATTAAAACGAACATTAGCACAAGGACGTTTTGGCGGGATTCCATTCCGGTGGTCAGATAGATATCACGTGATGAAATGATGACTTGATTCATCAAGAAGAATATCATATACATGCACGGCAGTTGCTTTGTTGCCTAGAGTCTGTGAGCAATTCTGAGGTCTTCCATTCTGTTAAATCCTCTGTCAAGACGTCCGTGCCAGTTCTATTTCTCAA